GAAGAGGAAGCAGCATATGAAGGAGTAGGAGGAGGCAGGGCTGGGTAAATACACAAGCATATTGAGTTCTGATAAACCCCTTAAGTTATACTGTACCTGTAATCTGCGCACATACAGGCCAGAAATTAATTAAAAGTAACACCCAATAACATGACCTGAATCAGAAGGAAAACAATATAAGGTAGAAGAATACATTAAGAGGAATTAAAGGAGAAAAAAGAGAATAAGAAAGAAAGTAGGAATGGAAATATAAACGTGAAATGAATTAAAGGGAAATTAAAGAGAGAGGAAATAGAACATTATATATATATAGAAATGAAACGTTTGAATCAAAGGGGGAAAGAAAGAAATATTAAAAAAACTAAATAAAGACGAGAATTTTAGAAAAGGATACAATAGAAAAGTGACTAAAGTGGTGGTAACAAGAGAAGCTATAGAAGGAGTTGAGAAAAGTTTAATCGAGATAGGTTTTAACCCTCTCAGTACCGGAGGTTTTCACTAAGCTCAATAAACTCCTAAAGTACTGGCAGTATTGAATGGGTTAAACACCAAGTAGAGAGAGATAAACTAGGGAGATTTTCACCAAACAGGCATACATACCCCCCACTTAAACAGGTACAATATTCAACAAGGCGCGCCTGTACAGGATGTTTCATGAGTGTTCGGGCTAACAGTAACCATCTTGAACATAAAGATTTACCAAAAACACTTGACCAGAAAACTCAACTTATGTCAACAAACAGAAATGTCTCAAGTCACTACTAGAACATGTTTTTCAGTAGTCCTCGATACACATACATTGTACTGTAAATAAGTGACCGAGATGTCCCAAAGAGACTCGGGCATGTGGTGAAAAGGAACATATATATGGCAGAAAAGGACATATGCACAATAGTAAATTTCATAGAAAAAGAGATGGACATGTACCAATAACTAACATAGATACCCAAAAAAGGAAGTCTTAAGTTAAAGAGAACGGGTCTATGTTGACAGAAAATGGTCACATAAGTTGAGAAACGTAAGGACAAACTTCATTAAAACAGGTGTGAGGAAAATGGATACACCAAATTTAAGTAAATGGAAATGGATTTAGAAAATGAATTTGTAACTAAAGAAAACTAAATTATAGATAAATAGGTAAGTTAAATACTGAATGAAGAATGTGGATTTCTGAGTAAAGGAAATTGGCTTTTGTATTAAAAAACTAGACTTAAAGTTAAGACAATAGGCATAAAGATGAAGAAATGGAATTGTAGCCAAAATTGATGTGTGAAGATAGAAGACAAAAAAATATAATGTTTACTTCAGAATGTTAGATGTCAAATTAGTCTAATCTATATTGAGACCTATTGAGACTGGGGCCTATTTGATCAGACATACAGACAACAAATATATGAAAACAATAAAAAAAAAATGGGTTAATCATAAGAGAAAACGGACACGCAAGTACAGAGGGGAAACTTGCCTATAAAAGATAACACATGTCCAGGTGAGTGTGGGTGTGGGCATGTACTAGAGTTGTGTTGTAGGGCTGGTCAGTTGTTACGACGACCAGCGAAACACGACAGCGATCCTATCAGTCCTCAGGTGGTGGGTAGACCAACAGGTACAGCCGCTACACCGACACATTAGCATACCTCACACCTGCCTCTATAATGGACTACCTGTTGTAACATAAACCTCTAGGTCTTATTTATACCATAGTGAATAGTTTACTAAATTCAGGGTAATTGTGTGTTAAGAATAAGATAGATAGATCGTAGACGCTAAGTGTGTGTAGGACAAACGAACTTGGCTTTAAAAGGGCAACAGAAATGGCATTCTTAGTGATTTCATAAAACTGGTGACAACAGAGGCTCGGGATAAGTGAGATCTGTATCCACCCGTGATGTGTTCTTCAATGTCCGTCTTGGCAAATTTAATGCTAAATAAATCGTGACATAAGGGAGAGGAGGAGGGTGGTGGTGGTGGTGGTAGAGGTGGTACTGCCGGAAGCGCCTCTACAAAAAAAGTTGTTTGAGGAATCTTTATTGTGTGTCTCCTGTATGGTGTTCGGTTGTTTACTAATCTGTGGTGTACGGATTAGGTCTGTATCTCACCACCTGCTGTGTAAACTACTGACGAGGTAGAAATGAACTATATTGTAACTTTACACCAACAACTATATTTTTGTATTTATTTTTTTTAGGAGGGGGGATTTGTTTGCTGTGGAAAATCTGACCTCGTGGATGTTGTTTAATATCCCTAATAGTTGGTGTACTAAACCAACATCCAGCAACAACTGTCTTCAGAGTGATGGTAAGTGAATATGTTTTTGTAAGCTATTTTATATCAAGTAGTTACGTGCATTAACGAAGGAGATACAGAGCTATTAGAATTCTGAAAAATCTTTACTGGCAACAGGAGGCTCCATTGTTAGTAAATAATGACCTTACTAATTGGTTCACAGTTAGACGGGGAGTAAGATAAGGCTGTGTTTTATGTCCAGCATTGTGTAATATATATTCAGCATTCTTAAAGAGAGAAGTTATAAGTAACGATGAAGGAATACAAGCTAATTAATGGTAAAGTGATATTAAATACACACTAAGCAGATGGTACTACTCTTATCACAGATAGTGAAAAGGCATTACAAAAACTCGGTAACAGATTAATGGGAAAAGTGAACAATATGGGTTTAGAGTTAATGCTGTAAAGACAAAAGTATTGGTTGTTTCCATATTGGAAATAAATCCCAAAATAAAAATAATAGTAGACAACAGGGAATTTAAACAAGTAGATTATTATTATATTTTTGTTTTTGTATTTGGGAAGTAACATTAGCTGTGATGGTAGCTGTGAGAAACAAATCAAAGCAAGAATAGGCCAAGCAAGAACAGAATGCAATAATATTAAAGACTTAAAAGAAAGGGACATTTACTTCAAATTGGGTAAAGGCTGCTGAAATGCTATACATGGCCAGGAGTGTTACTGTATATGGGTCAGAAGCGTGGACACTTTCAGCCTTTGAGATGTGGTGTTATAGGTGAATGTTAAGAATGAGTAACAGTGACAGGAAAACAAATGAAGAAGTACTACGGTTAGGAAAAAAATGAAGATATAGATATGAAATGTACAGAAAAGGAAAAAGAAGATACTTTGGACCTGTAATTAGGGAAGAAGGAATAATAACATATATTAATAGACAAAGTTGGGGTTAGGAGGGCCAGGGGGAGGCAGAGTCTGAGATGAATGGATAAGTTGAATTAAAAACTGTGCCCTCAGAGATACAAAACCTTGGAGGATCGGTAAAAACAGCCCGAGAACGTTTACAGTGGAGGACTGTGGTCGCCAACCCTCCGATATGAAGACGGTGCTCTGATTTACTTTGATCACCCCCGACGTGAGTGTGCGAGGCTGTTTCGGGTGTTAGAAGGAAACTCGTCTTCCAATTTTGGATGAGTTGGATTGAATTTGTTTAGGTATGATCATTACTTCTTAAGGTCAGTTCCTACTGTTCTTAGGCGGCTTTACATTATACTGTCTCGGATGTAAAATTGTTTATCACTCGGGTTGTGTACACCTGGAGGGCAGCTGTGTTTTGTGTGGCATTAGGCAAGGACACACACACACACACCGTCAACACTTGAGTGGACGCAGATAATCTATGTCACGCTCACATTCTGATATATGTACTCAGGGGCACGCACACGAATACACACATAAATAAATATACGCACACGCAGTTCTTGGGAAAATATTATGACAAAGAAAATAATAAGTCTTCCAATAACATGAAAAGACACAGTGAACAGTACTCATGGCGTGTGTCAGGTAACGACTTGATCATGATGACGGGGCGACCGGATGGCGTCAATAAAACCGGAATCTCAGATATCCGAACGTTATATTTACTTCGTAACAGAAACATTAATTAGTGTCATGTCGTGGTGCAAATTCGACTTATTTTTGGGGGTCGATATTCCTGTACCGACGTTAGATATGGTCTGTTGTAGAGAGAAGGGAACAATTAATGTACGAATGTTTGAGGAAAGGACCGTGTTCACCACACAGCAAAAGGCCAGCTGGCGAGGAACAGCAACAACCAGTCTGGTGTTGGCCACTAACTCAGCTGATTCTCGAACCTGAAAAGTTGCTGCCTCCTTCAGTATATTTTCACAATGATAATCCTACCGAACGCTAAATTTCCAAAAGGTGTTCGTCTCACATCCTGGCATCTTCATTTTAAGGCAACACAGCTTAATGGCCCCAGTTTAAGGATTCATGTTGGCACGAATTTATTATTGAAGCCTCTGTGTGTACAGGAAAAAATTAAAGGTATGTCTGTGGCTCAAAAAATAATTGTCAAGACAACTTTAAACATGTAACATGACTGCTAAACAAACCCCTGGCGTTGCCCCTCTAGATGTGATTTTTTTTTCTTTTTGGGGGGGGGATGGGAGGGGGGTGAGTCTTCGCGTAGCTGCTATAGATAGCCTCAAGGTGTTTATGTGAACAACTAAGACATTCTAATCCTCTCTGAATATAAAATAAAAACTTATATAATATCATTATCAAGTCTTGAGATACCTGACACAAGGTGATAAAAAGATAGATACAGTACATCGTCTTCTGTCTGCCACTCCTCTCGTCCCTTTAACTTGGGGTAGTTGCCACCTCTATTGTGCTCCTGTATGAATGAACTGGCCACACCTCCAGCCACCAGAAGTCCCAAACTCATGTCATGCATATTTATGACAGTGGTCAAAGACGTGATCAACCAGAATCAACAATTGGCAACTACCTATCGTGGAAAAACATACTGTATTTCCAGCCTTTATATAATTATGACTCAGATAAGAGTTGAAGCAGGAACAAGCGCTGAATTTGGGGATTATCAAAGTCAGTGAGCCGATGGTATAAATGGGTGGTGACTCCTTTCAAGAGACATGGCAACTATTAACGCGGGACGAGTACACAGCCCAAAGAGTGGCAACCGACCGCCGTGCATCCATACCAACGTTAGTTACCTCAGTTGGTTCAGTGCTCAGACTCAGTGAGCGTCGAGCTGCCAATGTGTGTAGTGGTGGCGGGAGTGTGTGGTAGGCGTGGTCTTCGTCGTGTACAAGTTTTAAAGTGATTCTGAGATACAGTTATACTACCACGAAGTGACTAACGTGTAACATCACCCGTCTGGCTCACATGAGGTTAGATCTTGGTCAATAATACCATCAGTGGCAAACTATGTTTTTACATTCTACAAATTCTTAACATTATATTTGCCGCATCATCAGAATCTACACTATTATTAATGATATAAATATCGGGCCTCGTGAGTTTCTAAATCCCTGACATACGTAAGTGCAAAAGTAAATAATATCAAGAGAAAAATGCAAACAATTAAACAATATTTTAGAAAGAGATAAACATTAGCTCACACGGCACAGGTCTCAGAATTAATCTAAAGTCAGTTGTAGTAGAACCTTCAACATGATGTACGATGTGGTTGTATTAATTAGTTAGTGTGTGTCTTAAGGGTTAAAGTCCTAATTTAAGAGTAAGTTTGTAATATGTCTCAAGAGATAACTTGTCTAATCTTAGGAATGTCACTATAAAATATGCTAATTGATTCGGTATCATTAACTACTACTGTATCACTAACTATCGTATCACTAACTACCGTATCACTAACTATCGTATCACTAACTACCGTATCACTAACTACCCTTTCACTAACTACCCTTTCACTAACTACCGTATCATAACTATCGTATCACTAACTACCGTATCACTAACTACCGTATCACTAACTACCCTTTCACTAACTACCCTTTCACTAACTACCGTATCACTAACTACCCTATCACTAACTACCCTATCACTAACTACCCTATCACTAACTACAGGTATCATGAGGAATACTGTGCCTCTTTAAGGGATATTGTGTCAGGAATATTATATCTCACTAAGGAATATTGTCTTACTGAGGAATAGTATGTCTGAATGATGAATATCTCAGTGAGGAATATTATTTCACTGAAGAATATTGTCTCACTGAGGAATTTTTGCCTCATTGAGTAATAATGTCTCAGTGAGGAATATTATCTCTCAGTGAGGAATATTATCTCTCACTGAGGAATATTATCTCTCACTGAGGAATATTATCTCTCACTGAGGAATATGTCTGGCTGAGGATTGCTCTCCAAAGTGTTCCAGATCCGCATATATGGTTATTTTATGCCTGTGTTTGTGTACTTTCCTGCATTTTAATCTGGGTGTTTGTGTGAGTATGCCTGCATGTTTGTTTGTAAGGCTTTAGCTATTTTCATCGTTGGTGTGTGTGTGTGTGTGTGTGTGTGTGTGTGTGTGTGTGTGTGTTTGTATGAGTAAATTCATATTCATATAAAGAAAACACACACACACACACACACACACACACACATTGCAGGTATGTTACTATTTCCACATATATATTTCAAGGCCAGTTAACACTCCCTGCCCTGGGGTAATAGTGGATCACATGTCAACCCCTGAGTGAGGCCTTTGAACCTACAGGACCCATGTTCGAACCTCGCTAGCCTCCCGCAACCACCAAGTACCTCACCTCAATCAACAGTGTCATTACCATCATCATTGTTACCAAATATTCATCATCATCATCATCATCATCATCATCATTATTCCAATCGGCAATTTTACTGCATCAACACAAACCAATTACTGTATTCAAGCTACAGTATACTCTTACCGAGCCAGGAATTAGTGTTGAGAAATACAACATTCATACAACAAATTTGATCATACAACACCATGTATTATTTCACCGGTTATATCTGTTAAACGTGTATAAAAGGAAACATGCATCGGCTGTGTCTATCATGGTACAAACAGCGACGAGGAGACAAACACGGGCGTGATATACTTGTTATCACAAGTTGAAAATTAAAACAGATCCCACTGGGTGGTGATGGGTGATGTCACTTTCCTTTAGATAAGACTAAATGAGTTACCCGGCTTCGCCCGGGTTATTGAGTCGATCCAATCGTCGTGGAGAGACAGGAGACAGTGCATGACCATCTCCTAGTCGACTCGCACTTCCCTACCATAAGAAACATACAAACACACTATGTATTTTGTGTATATTGAAGTACTTGCTGGATAACGCCTCGAGAACGCCGAGAGAAGGAGAACTTGTAGCAGCGAACACAAGAACAGAGGTACATATGACACTCTTATACTAGCACATGAGAAGTGAGTGGCGGTGTCAGTAGTGGAACTTTAGGCTCCCCGGGTAGTGATCACTGTCTCACACTGTATTGTGTTGTTGAGTTACACAGTCACGTTCAAGAAGTTATGCAGCATATTCGACTGTGACTCATGAAGATTAAACTTGATATAGGATGGATAAAACAGCTGCGTGTGCATGTGGTTAATGGGGAAACACAGTTCATTGTTTTTATACAGACTTAGATCACCCGGGGTAAAGTTCACACTGAGTAATATTAAAGAGCAGGAACTACGAAGAGGAATAATAATACAACACTAGACACACACACACACACACACACACACACACACACACACACACACACACACACACACGAGCCACGAGGAGGACACAGGTGCTGAATTATACACGAGACACAGGAATAATAATCAACAGTTAGCAAAAATAACATTCAATAATCTCCACCACACCTCCACAACCACCACACCTCCACCACAACCCACCACACCTCCACAACCACCACACCACCACCACCACGCCAACATCTCCACCTCACCAACACCTCCACCACGCAAACACCTCAACATCACCACACCATCACCTCTACAACGACACCCCCACACCAACACCAACACCACAACCACACCAACACCACCACCACGTCAACTTCACCACCACTACACTATCATCATCACCACCGCCACCATTAACACTAGCAGAGCCGGATTAAGGGTTTTGTAGGCCCTGGGCACTTTTTGATCACAGGCCCCTAAATTTCCCGATTCACCATCATGTGCCTTACTTTACCTTCACGACCTATGGGTAACAGAGCCTAATGGGTTAGTTGACACAGACAGACACGTTGATATGTAAGTTTTCCATAATTTTAGGTTAGTTTGTTTTATTGCGGTTTTTGCAGGTTAAATCTAACAAATATACTCGTTGGCTTAGGATAATTATGGATTTGCATATGTGCATAAGCAAATGCATATTTTAGCATTTTTGAGCTAAAGAGCATATTCATTAATTTTTTTGTTTCATAAGGCATATTTGGGGACAATTATAAGGTATTATGATAAATGCTTCAACCTGTTATGGTATTTAGAATCGTAATATACAAAAGGAATTTACATGGGTACATTAAGCTCTTGTCAGATTTATCGATTATTTCCATTTACCGTGTTGGAACATAAAGGTTAAAGGCCATACCACAGTGAAAATACATACATTATATCTCAAATTTCGTAGGCCCCTTAAACCTTCGTAGGCCCTGGGCACTGTGTCCACTGTGCCCCCTTGATAATCCGGCCCTGATTGCACTAGGCCCACAACATCATCACTCACTGGGTCTTTGTCTGGCTGAAGTGAACTCTCCTCCTCCTCTGTTGGTAAGGATTATATCCGTCACTCTTCGTTGATTTAGTCTACTGAACCCCATTCTTTGGTGTCACGTGTGGATTCCGCTCCCAGGGTATAAACCTGGCCTCTGGATATATCTTGGACTGTGTTGCAAAGGATTGGATACTATTCGCGTGGCCTTATCTTGCAGGGGATTACATGTTTCCTTTTGGCGAGGGATTAAAATCTGCTTTTGTTTACTGTTTGGGATTAAAATCTACATGTACTTTTTTGAAAGCGATTAAAATTAAGTAGATCCTATTAAGAAGGGGTTAAAATTTATCAGCGCTTTTTTATAAGGTATTACAATGTAGTAATTCATTTCTGTAGAAAATCAGAATCTAATGGTTCTTTCCCGCAAAGAATTACGGTCTCTTAATTATTTCTTGCCTGGGAATAAATGATCTAATATAGATTTAGTGCAACAGGTAAAATTCTATTGAGTTTTTTTATCTCACAAGGAATTAAAGTCTACAAATTCTTTCCTTCAAGAGGATATAAATACAGCTCTTCTTTTTATTCCCACCATCCAGGATATAATGAAAGCCTCCCTCAGCCATAAACATCACATTAACTCCTGGGAAAGAGCAAAGAATGGCCTGCTTGTACCGCCATCGTCATCTCAAAGGCTAAATGTCAAGCTTGGTGTCTGTGTGTTTGTGCATCAACTTTTATTCTTTTTTTTTATTATTATTCAACAAAGAGTTTCCTTGAGTGAAGAGATGAGATTAACTCCTTCGTCCCATCCCCCTCCCCCCCGGACCCGCCAACCCTTCCTTCCCCGCCAACCCTTCCTTCCCCGCCAAAAATAAAACTCATCCACCAAAGACTACAGCAAGGTGGTTGTTTGGTCTCAGTTTAGTTCATAGAGCATAATCGGAGAAAAAGTTCGAGCCGGGAGTTCAAGAGTTGTTATTAGTAGGATTGTGTTGGTGGGACTGTGTGTGGGTGGGTGTATGTTGAGAAGTTCATAGGGCAGAGCAAGTTGAAACTCTGCTTATTCAGGGGGGTCCTCGGTACTTGCAGCCCACATTGTCTTACCCTTAAGTCTGCATGCAGTCAGGTATTTGTGGCCTTTGTCTTGGTTCTTATATTCCGTATTAGGGAAGAACTACACGCACTAAACACCTTATTTGTTATAACGTTAATAATCCAAAATTACTACAATACACTATTAACTTATTTGTCGTATTTTACATGTTTTTTGTTTTTTGTTTTTTAAGAGTAAGAGCTTAAAAGTTCTTAGTAGCTGAAGCACTGAAATACACAATAAGCAAAATCAATTCGTAGTCAAACATAGTAGCGCCTTGCATCAATAACTATTCGCCTCGTTTCAGCATTTTTTAGCGTTATATCAACCCCTGTAGTCCCCTCATTAAGACTTACAGTGTGTAATTATGAATTGTAGTCCTAGTTTCAGCAGGACTGGTAGCCCCCTAACGCAAGTAGTTAAAATCCCAGGACAGACATTAGTTATGGACCCTTTGTCTCACCTATTGTAACCTGTATTTCATCACTCTGCTCTATATACAGGACTTATAACCTGTGTATCGGCATCTTTACTGCCTGTAGCTCCTGTGGCGGCACTTTTAGGTCCTGTGGCGGCACTTGTAGCTTCTGTGCAGGAACCTGTAGTTCCTGTGCCGACACTTGTAGTTCCTGTGCAGGAACTTGTAACTCCTGTGGCGGCACTTGCAGCTCCTATGGCGGGTTGTAGCTCCTGTGCCGGCATTTGTAGGTCCTATGGCGGTACTCGTAGCTCCTGTGGCGGCACGTGTAGTTCCTATGGCGGCACTTGCAGCTCCTGTGGCGGCACTTGCAGCTCCTATGGCGGGTTGTAGCTCCTGTGCCGGCACTTGTAGGTCCTATGGCGGTACTCGTAGCTCCTGTGGCGGCACTTGTAGTTCCTATGCCGGCACCTGTAGCTCCTCTATTACTATTTATAGGGCAGTGCTCGTGATAGTATTTGCAGTCAATAATATTCAGGATGTGTAACACTATATCGGTATTTGTGGGAACACATCAACGAGTAGTACAAATAAGCACTTGTACTGTATTGGTACGACAATCGTATTCAACAATTGCAGTCTTAGTAGAAGCGTTTATAGTCGTATGATGAACGTAGCCCCTGACCAACATAGCCTGTTGGTGAAAGTAGGTCCCTGGTGCACCAGCACATGTAGTCAGCCCTGCCAGTAGCACTTGTTGTTGCTCCGTACCAGCAGGTTGTCAACACAGCCAATGGAAGGCATGCTGGCCCGTGATTGGTGGAGAGCTTGTTGTTGACGCCAGGCTGAGGCCATCGCTTTAAGGGAGAACGCAACTGTCCAAGATAAGGACGGCATTTCTTTGTTGTAGTAAAGCGTTCCTTACAAATCCCGGCTTTTTTTTTTCAACTCCCCACACACGTGATTGTAATCTATGTTAATTCACGAGGTTAAATCCCATTGCAATAAAGCCTTTGAGTCGGGTCGTGAACGCAAGGGGCTGTCATGCACTTCGTATACATAGATGGAGTTTTGACACCTCTCTCGGTATTTGGACGCAGAATAATTGCGCAGTGCGTGGTAGGAAAAACAGGGGATTGGAATCCAGGCAGGCGGTGCGTGGGTGGTGAGGTTTTAGTATGCGTTTTTTATAGTGTTGTTACCCTGTCTCACTCCTGCTAAAGATGGCTGTAATAAAAGGAGTTAGTTCGTTGAAGTCGATGTTCATTTTATAATGTATTACTGCGCCTCAACGACTAAAATCTTTAACCGCGTATTCTAGATAAGTAAATACCGTAGTCATAGTCATAAATAATTACAAATGATTACATACAGATTATTTTTTCCTCATACGTTCTCCGCTAGTCATTAGGTCGGTTAGACATTGTTACGTGACTGCTTTTCTCACCACGATGTTTATATTAAATACTTGACGCGAAACTCGAGTACCTCTCTCTCTCTCTCAAGAAAATCAAATCAAAATTAACAATATACAAAAATCCCTGGTCTCTTAGGAGGAACAATGTTGATAGCCTTTTAAGTGAAGTCAATTTTACCCGCTGTCAGTTGGGATCAGATCAGGGTACGTGCGTGTATGTAGAGGTAGCAGGTTCCTCCCACACCGTAAACGGAACAACTCTCGTGAAGAAAAAAAATCACCAGAATATTTTTCCCCAAACTTATTTCACCTTAAGATTAGCCAACCCAACCCAACCTTCCTCCAGGTAGCGTTAGTGTTCAATCATCAGGTGAAATTAATTGAGGAATAATCTTCAGGTAATCTGCAAAAAAAAAAGTTACGTTGTTAGGCATCATTCACTATGACTTGTACTATTGATGTTAAAATGCGTTACTGTATTTGGACGAATAGTTTAAGCACATATAACCATTATTTATTTTGTTAATTATTGTTACTGACTCGTCCCCCAACCTAAACAAAGGACCCTACTGGAGCTATGATGGCTTTATTGGCTGCTCCTTGGTTCGTGTTATCGTTTACCATTGTATATACTTGTAATGACCCTGAACATCGCTTTTGTACCAGTGTTGTCTATGTGTATTGTACATATACCCTCATCATCTACGTCGAATCGATATGAACTTGTGTGACGATTTTACTGAATAAATATCTATCTTTTTATCTACACAATTAAAAATAAAGATATTGTCTAATCTCAGTGTCAACAAAATCAACTCTCAAGATATAGAATGTGAATGTTTCTTTGTTGTATGTGTACCTGAGCTTCAACTAAGACCAAACACATAATCCACATTCAAATTATAGACAACAACATCTACAACTAAGAGATTATAGATGTCTCATGATGTGAACGAATCATTTACGATTACATACATTTGATTTTACGGTTTGCTTGTCAAAATATTCGTCCTCGTACATAATACTAATGTTTTGAAGCTCCTGTGTGAGACATGTGGAGGAGATGGAGTATAATGAAACTGATAAACAAATGAAGGTGTTGTGGACGAGACTCACTACACAACTCCACTTTATGGCGCGCTGTACATCCTCTCCGCCTCCTAGTTAACTCCTCGGCTCAACCCCTGTAAAAACTGGCCGCGAGCTTCTTGTGTACCTAAGTCGATAGGTTTTGAAGTCATTATCATTTATATTTATTCCCCAGAAACGAATGCTAAGTTATCGTTCATTTCATTATTATTTCAACAATACATGAATTTTTTTTTATTGGTACAGTAGGAACAGCGTGTTTAAATCCCATCATTGGTATAGGGCACAAGTGGCAGTAACGTCTATATATTTTTTTTAAATAGTTTTCTTGAGCACAGTACCGCCAGCAAGACCACGAGAGAAATATTAAACAAAAGAATAAGTTTGGACGCTCATTGTGGGTTAAGAAAGATGAAGGCATGTGAACCGCAAAACGGGGTCTACCTGTTGACTAATTGGTGCTGGCGTCCAGCTGGTATACGAGGTATTCTTATTTATTTTAAAATTAAGTGTCGCTTGGTGGAATAAATCCATAATTCATTGTACAGCAAAAACTCAGTTACTGTTTATTTTTTACGTGAGAACCGGTTCTGATAGGAATATTAAACTAAATACAAAGAAACTTTGAATTTTGATAGCGTTTCGTTTCAATTCAAGATTACATACAGTATATCATGTTTTGTTGGAATTATATGTTTCACAGCCGAAACATGCCCTTGTTATTATTATTATTCAAACATAAATACACTTGTCAGAAGGTTTAATTCACTAAATGAACGATGTTTGATTCATGAAATAAGAGACCCACAGTAAGGTGACCTTGTTCACTGGATATTTAACGACTTAATTTCACCTCTCTCTCTCTCTCTCTCTCCTGGCTACACACCATAATCAACGTCTTGCCAGCACCTACTGGTCCTTATCTCTCTCCCACACTCTTAACACTCGGATTATCAGGTTTGCCTCTACACAGCGCTAGGGCTAGTTTATTGGGGACTCCCTTGCATCCTGTTCAAGCCGAAGTGTAGAAACATTATAGCGCCCGACAGGGAAGCATGCGGAGTACAGTACATGACTGCCTCTAGTATTCCTCCTCAGTTTCATGCTGTTATGGCGAGCACCAGCTAACTGAAGGTTCTGGTGTAATGCTGGTGTCTCTCTCTCTCTCTCTCTCTCTCTCTCTCTCTCTCTCTCTCTCTCTCTCTCTCTCTCTCTCTCATAGCATTACTGAATAATACCACTTACGTCAGAAGATGGTAATGGACATTGGAGAAAAACATTTTAACTTGTATAAATAAATCTAATACAATAAGCAGGGATGTGGCGGCCGAGTGGCTACAACTCTTGTCTCCTGTCTTAAGGGTCGATAGTTCGATTCCAGTCCAACCATCTGTGACTGAGTACCTACAGTACTGTAAGTTTGTAGTTGGGGGAGTAAAGGCAGTCGAGTGCAGTACCAGCAGTGTTCCTCCTCGTGTATCGAAGGTTTAGTGTGCGGTACTGTATCTACACTGTCCCTAACAGGGAATCGTGCAATATGAAATTATTAAAGATTTTTCTTGATGATAATGACTCATCTCTACTTCCAGGAGGATGGGGAGGATGATGTGCCCGGCCCAGGTGTGGCTGCTCCTCCACCTGCTGCTCCTTCACTTTTCCCAGGTAAGTTATACTCGTCCTTGGGGCATCAAGAGGGAAGGAACCAGCCTGGGGTGGAGAAGTGATCTTTGTATGTCTGAAGGTGAAGACGAGCAACAAGACTCTCTCTATCCCTGTACGTGTGTGTCCTTCCCCATCACTCATCATCTTGTAGACTCGTGTGCACCTCCACCCTTCTGAACATACACACACATGTATGTCTCTCCTCACATGTGTAATAATCGCCAGTGAAAGCCTTGATATCTTAATGACCGGGTGGACTTGACCTAGTCTTGACCTCTGACACGAACCAGACGCCCTCGTCTGTCAGCCTTGAAGACTTGTGCTTGATAGTAAAGAAATTCATGGCTCATTGTGGCTATATTTGGAGGTCCGAGATACTCACAAGCGGGGGTGAGAAGAGCACTTTGTGGCCCCTTGTAGATGCTGGGTGTCTTTATTTTGTTATTATAGAGATAAGAGGGAGAGAAAGCCTGGAGCAAATAGATAAGAGGGAGAAAAGACCCGCAAGTACAGAAAAGAACACAGACGTAGACGCATGTAAACTTTGTCGTCATCACATACACAGTTCGTTCTTACACAGCTATGGACCCCACACAGATATTATACACAGATTATACTGTATGTACAAAGTATCTTTACAAATTTGTGTTAGATAATAATGACACAACGAACGAAGCATTTTGACAAACCTACCGAGACAACAAGAGTCGCATCGTTCATTTTGAAATTCATTGGACCATTCCGTAAAGATACTTTTTTGATTGTATGCACAATACATAGTACAAACAAGAGCAAGTTTTCACGCCTGAGCGCTCACGTGCACACACACACTCCACAAATAAGCACATACCCTCACCCACACCGGAACACACACGCAATCCATAATAAATCCCCATCGAGTATTATCAACAAGATCTGGGGGAGGGGGAGGGGAGCAGACGTGATGCCAAGGAGGAATTTCGCTGTCTCCAAACGTTCATATTTGATGTCTCCTTCAAACATGATAATATATTGAAGTGTATCCTACACCAGCCCCATACACAGTAGGTAAGATGGCATCCAAATTACATTGAGACAATATGTTAGTTCTCAATATAAAAAACTTTATTTGTGAGGACTTGGGTGAGTGTGTGGAGTGTTGTGCGGGTAAATTCGATCAGGCTATTCTATCGATCTCTTTATCCCATGTCTTTTGTCTCTTCCTGGCGAGTAAAATCTCTCTCTCTCTCTCTCTCTCTCTCTCTTTTATTTTCAGATTGGTGTGTTACTGATCAAAAAGCTATAATTTTACTGAAAGTATATTGTAGTTGTATTATACTGTACAATAGCAAGGTATCTACTGAATACAGAGGTACAGTACTGATAACAAACTCTTAGACATTAAATACATAACATTCACGCGTATACACAAGTGATCTCGTTATTCATTTCGTATACTATTGTTCACAACAGAAAATAAATGCCTACTATTAATGTACGACAAACAACAGTATTTCAGGAAAATGACAGAAAACGAGTACTGTGATGTATATATTTTACTGTATATTTTAAATGGGATTTTGTTCTTGTAATAATCTGGAGTATGAACACGGCGGCGGCGCTTCTCCATACCATCAGAACTGGTTCACTAGTAACTAAGAGGGGCTTGGCTTATTGACCATTCTTACAGCACCTCCACAGCACCCCACACAGCCGGCCAGCTAGCTACCTGTAGGTCGGCCTTCTCGGGCTGCTACGCAGCTACGCACTGAGTAACAGTTAATGTTCAGTAAAGGAAAGATTTATTTTCCTGAGGTAGTACAAAGTTTTTACACATGATCAATGAGATTTTTCTTTGTATACAGGATATATACTGTACATGTACAGTATATGTTACGTTTTTTGGCGAAATCGGTTATTTTGCAAAATTACCAATATACATGCCGGGAATTTTGCAAAATAACCGATTTAGCAAAAAACCGTAATATATATTGTCTGAATATTTGTGAGTCAGTCGGGTTTTTACGATAGGCCGTCAGGGATATGCGCTGACTATTACTGTAATTGGTACAACACATGAAGAAAGGGTAGACTCCCAGGTCTGTTAGAGTCAACTTATTGTTTTTACAATAAAGACTTGAATACAGCGAACACCGCAAACAGTAAGCAAACAATGCCTGGTTATGACACTTATAGATCTTGCTAACAGTACATGACAAGTGTTTGACAGCGTGTCGACCAACACACACACACATTCTGGATGTTATTTCTTTGGGATCCAGATAAATAAATATTGCTGTAACCTCAGGTCCGTACTCAGTAACTCTAGGTACTAATTTTTTTTTCATTTAATTTCTTAATTATATTTTTTCAAGATAATCTAATACCATTTGGAGTATATTATTACACCCTTTAATTTATTATATTTTTATCATCTTTAAGTAACTATTTTTTTTGTCTCTTAAAGTTATCCCATTTTACTGTCTTAGTGATATTATTTCCAACTGTTTAAATATATTTACATTTGTAAACCTAAGATGCTTTTACCGCACTGAAGAAACAAGTTTTAACTTATAAAAACATTGTCCACTCAGAGATAATGTTATACCCTCTTTCAGTTTCGTTAAGTTCGCTCTCTGGCAAATATATTCTTACTTCCAGACAATTTGTTTAAGTTGAATATATTGTTTTCTCCTCCGTGTTAACCTGCAGGTACTCTCACCCGCCCAAATATTGGATCAAATTATAGACGAGGCTGGGAAGAGCGATTGCCTGACGCATAATTTAGGAACATTGTCTAACATAGTCTGTTGCGGCCAAATATTTAAGTTGAAAATGTGGGGAAATGTGTGATGACTCTGGCAGTGTGCTGGCGGCATTATTTGTTTATCTGCTTAATGATTTAGTTGTTTTTTAGAGTTTAAATATTTTTAGATAAGACATTCGCTCCTAAAACAGATAAGGAGAGAGAGAGAGAGAGAGAGAGAGAGAGAGAGAATTATTGAATATTATCAAAGGAAGATATTGTGGACACCTTGTCGTAAAAAGAACTGACGTGTGAGACGTGATGCAGATAACCTGTAACCATGAACAATACTTCCCACTTGTGCGTGTATATATATATATATATATATATATATATATGTGTGTGTGTGTGTGTGTGTGAAGTCCTCATTTATAGGTACCTTGAAAGCTTAATTGTTGGCTTTTTCTATGAATTGTCATAATAAAAAACTAGTAAGAACAGAGAGATTAATGATGATTATTTTGCTGTAAATGTAAGTTACAGTCGTCACTTTACTTTATTGACTGATATATTCGCTGCTGTGACATAAACATTACTACGGTACGGCTGTTGCTGCTATGGTACGGCTGTTGCTGCTATGGTACGGCTGTGCTGCTATGGTACGGCTATTATGCTATGGTGCAACTGTTGCTGCTATGGTACGGCTGTTGCTGCTATGGTACGGCTGGTGCTGCTATGGGCGCAGCTGTTGCTGCTATGGTACGGCGCTGTTGCTGCTACGGTACGGCTGTGCTGCTACGGTACGGCTGTGCTGCTACGGTACGGCTGTTGCTGCTATGGTGCGGCTGTTGCTGCTATGGTACGGCTGTTGCTGCTATGGTACGGCTGTGCTGCTATGGTACGGCTGTTGCTGCTATGGTACGGCTGTGCTGCTATGGTACAGCTGTTGCTGCTATGGTACGGCTGTGCTGCTATGGTACGGCTGTGCTGCTTACGGTAGCTGTTGCTGCTATGGTGCGGCTGTTGCCGCGCTATGTTGCAGCTGTTGCTGCTATGGTACGGCTGTGCTGCTATGGTACAGCTGTGCTGCTATGATGTACTGTACTGTATTTGTTGCTGTGACATTTTCGTTGCTGTAAGAGATTCGTTGTTGTTATATATTTGTTGTTGTGCGTAATGGGTCGCTCCCGGGTGGATGGGTGAGTGGGCGTAGGTGGGGGCGTGGGTGGGATGAGTGGGTGTAGATGTGGGCGTGGGTGGGGATGAGTGGGTGAGGGTGTGGGCGGGGAGAGTGGGAGTTGTTGTGGGCGTAGGCGGGATGAGTGTGGCGTAAATGTAGGCGTGGGTGGGGAGAGTGGGAGATGCTGTCGGCGTGGGCGGGATGAGTGGAGCGTAAATATGGGCGTGGGTGGGGAGAGTGGGAGTTGCTGTCGGCGTGGGCGGGATGAGTGGAGCGTAAATGTGGGCGTGGGTGAGGAGAGTGGGAGTTGTTGTGGTGGGTAAGCTGGAGTCACAACACTGGGTTGGCCAAAGTAACTAGAGACGCTAACCTTGCCCTTTCTCCCAGGGCCATCATGCTATGAAATATCAGCGGCTTCCGACTGTTCTAAGACGTCAAGTTGAATTTAGTGAGATGGAGACAGTGTGTGAGAGAGAGAGAGAGAGAGGAGCACAATATAAACATTAGTTGTCTTTATTTAATTATTATTTTCATATACAAGACACCCGAGACAGCAAAGTGTTTGTTTTAAGATACCATGGTGCCCCCCGTTGCTTGACCTGGGTTAGTGTAGCGACTAAATCATCAATAAAAAGAATAAGCAAATATCCATCTCGTTGAATGACTGATCCCTAAAAGACATTGTCGCTATGAATGAAAACAAAAATATGTACGAGAAGGTCAGAGATTCTTATCGTGTCGTGCAGAACTTATTGCCGGTAAGGTTATATATTTCTTGTAGCAATTTTATTCTCGTATAATATAAACTGAATATAATATTGAAACGAGACAAAATATATTGAAAATTCCATTCTCCTTTTCTGGGGATTTTCTACCAAATGCTATGTTTTTTACCTAACTTATTTACAAATCAATTTTTTCCATGATAAAAAAAAGTTTGGGTACGCGAATATATTAAGGCATGAAGATATGTTAAGACCAAAATAAATACTAAATTAAAGCGTAGTGTTGGTGATGTGTTTGTTGTCACGGCGGCGAGAATGATCCGATACGTCACGCATTATATTAGTCATCTTGGCCTGGCGAGGATGTACA